CATATTCTGCCATCCATTTATTCAAGCTCACTAATTAAGTTATGCATTGTTTTTCTCTGTTCCTCTTGCCTTCAATCTGTCCTGTAGGTATAAGATTTTCCAATCCTTCTTTCCTCATTATGTGCTCTAGAAATTTTAACTGTTTTTCTTGATGTTAAGTATAAGTTTCCTTTTTATTTCTATTCTCTATAAAACTTCAGTCCATGTTTGGTACATGGTATTCTCAGCATCCTCCTGTAGAACCATATCTCTGTTGCCTCAAGTCTCCTCTTCACTTGTGAGGAGATTGTCCTGCATTCACTGTCATATAGGAGGACTGATATTACATAAAATCCATCACTATTTTCTTTTTCTGTTTTTGTTTCTTAATACTTTGCTTAGCTTTTGAAATGTCCAAATGTGTCTTCAGATTTCAGTGTCAGTTTACCTTGGTATTTAATCCATAGCATTTTTGAGGGGATTATTTGATTGATTTGTTTTTTTTTTACAGATTATCTTCCCCTTTTATGAATTACTGAAAGCATATTTTGGATTGTAAGAATAAGTCTTCTTTTTTTTTTTTTTGCGAGTGGCTATTTCATTAACAATTTTTTGTGAATAACAATGATTTATCCAAATACAAGTCTTACTGTTTGACCCATAGAAGATGGATTCATACCTTTCCCAAGGGTATTTGCACGCAAGTGAATGCAATGAAACCATCTGGAATTCAAACTTGGTTCTCCAATTTCTCATTCCACACTTCTATCCATTTCACCACCCACACATTTGTTTTTGAGAGGAAGAAGTGGATTCCTGACTTTCGTGTGTCAGTTTAAATTAATTTTTTAAATAAAAAGAATAATATAAACAATATTTTAAATACTGTTATATATTTCATTTCACAATTTTAGGAAATTTGAATAGATTGACTAATTATTTGTAAAGATAACCAACATTTTCAGTGTTTCACCAAACATTTCACACATCTCACAGAATTATTCCACCAGGAAATACAGAACCTAATTTTCTATAATTAAAAAAAAATTATGAAAGCAATTTGGTATCTTAACTTTTGAGAACATTTGGGTAGCACTTTTTAACTAATATAAAAAAAAAATAAATATATTTTTTAGCTTTCTATTGAAGTCTTCATATAAAATTAATTCAATGAGAGATATCACATAACAGTTTAGTACTCTTTTCCTTGTTTCTAGCAAAATTTTTCTGTTTCTTAATACTCTGTTTAGCTTTTGGAATGCACCTTTGGCTATTCCAATGTACTTTTAGATTTCAGTGTTGCACTTTCCATACTCTGTTAAAACACTTAGTACTGTAGCCTAATAGGAAGCACGGCAAAGTAATGGATAGCAGCTCAGATTGAGGAATTAGAGAGTCGAGTTCGAATTCCAGTCGAATCCATTACATTCACTTATGTGCTAATACCCTTGAGAAAGGTATGAATCCTCTTCTTTTACACCCCAACCTCTAGCTATGGGTAAATAGCAGGACAGACCAGGTTCTGTAGTCATGGATGGCAACTGGTCTACCACAGAAAGAAATGGCAACCTACTGCAGAAAAAATCTGCCTCGTCAGTCATGTATCGAAAGATACATGATCGCCTAAACATGTATCATGTATGGCACATAACTGACTGACTGTAGCCTAAGTCATTTTTTCTTGTGGAACCTTTTCCAATCTTATCAGTTCTTACAGTAATATTACTAACTAGCAGTAGAGTCCGGCATTGCCCGGGGATGTAACAGTAAGAGATAGATCAAGTATCGACCGTCATAAAGACTGAAAAATAAAATTGACAAAGATTATTGTTTAAGGTTGACGGACATGCATGTCTTAATTAGTTTTTTTTTTTTTTTTTTTACGAATTGGTCAAACTCAAACAAAAACATTGTTTTCAATCGTTATGAGTCTACCGATTGAATAGAATTTTATTATAAACAATTGTCTTGTAAATGGAATTTTTAAAGCATTCTGAATGTAAAAATAAAGAAAAAAGTGTGCAAGAGAATAAGAAACACTACCTGCAAAAAAAAAAAAAGTGAAGTTTTGTTAAAATTGGTTGAAAAATATAGGAAATCCGATCTCATATATAAGTGAACACAGACACACAAACAACCTGGGTTTTATAATAAGTATAACTCGATATGAGTTGTCCCTCCTTTTATTCCATGAAAGTGATGCCTCTTAATCGTGTTTTCAAATTGATTTCGTGCAAAAAAAATTGTTTTTCCAATTTTTGGCACTGTCAGAACCACCGCAAGGTAATTTTATGTAGTCCTGCAAAGTTTTGTTGAAATCGGTTGAAAAATGTATGAAATCTGATCCAATATATAAACGTACAGACACACACATACACACACAACCTGGGTTTTATAATAAGTATGATAACACAAGACCTAAAACTCAGTTCTGTGACTCAGACTGTTGCATTCTCATTAAAGTGATAACAAAAGGAAAATAAAAAAATACAAAATGATTTTTAAGATCATTATGAAGGGGTGCTGAAAAGTTCACAACCTCATCTAGGTACCCTTCCAAAATAAATTCTGTTGTTTGGTTAGATTTTAGGAAGGGGATTAAGCTAAGAACTTTTCAACATCCCCCTCATGAATGCAACATATACCTGATAAAGGCCAAAAAATGTATTGGCTAAAACATTTTTAAGAAAACAGCAATGATAAAGGCAATGTAGAATAATTACAGTCTCTGAACTGAAAAATTTGATTATTTGTACTGTTGTTTTTATATTTTAAAAATTAAAATTCTTTTATTATCTATCTTTGTTAAATATAAATTTGTTTTCTGCATTTTAGCAAGCTTTTAATATTTCATTTTTTTAATTTGGGGGAGAGGGAGCTAAAATAATGACAGAATTGAGATGTTGACTTTTCACACTACCTTAAACAAAAGGTTAGAAAGGAAACTCCCATTAATACTTGAGAAACCTATTTTTCTGAAAAACTGTTTTAAGACAAAGAGTTTATAAATTTCAACTGGTAGTAATGCTAGCTGTTCAGTCAATAAATACTAAATATTTCCTGTAAGGAAACATTCAATATCACCATGATCATTATAACTTTTAGAATTAAAGTAGAACAAATATATACTTATACATTTATGTTTATAGAATTTGTCATTTTCTGTCTGAATTTCTGGGGTGAGGAATTATCATTATTTACATTATTTACATTTGAACTTATATAATTATTTTTGTTGTTATCATCACAACATTTCGACCATTGTGCAATATAATTATTTTGTTATCATCACAACATTTCGACCATTGTGCATTTCACCCTTCTTCACGTATCTGTTAATCTGGGTAACATTTATGAAATTTTGAACTAAGCCCTTTATTTAAACTATGGGGTAAATTATTCTCATTCTGTTGTCCATGTTTAGATTAAATAAAGGGTTCAAAATATGTATATGTCTCTATAAAATAAAGGTTTCAAAATACATTGAATGCTACCTGGACTGACAAACAACAGAAGGCTGGAGGGCACATTGGTTGAAATTTGATAACAACAACAAAAATAAGGACATCAGTTCACATATAAATAATATTTAATCTATTCAAGTTAGGTTAAAGACTAACAAATGTTCTTTATTAAAAAGTTTTTGTGTACATTTTCTATATTTCTGACCATTTTCCTGAATTCCATTGAAAATTGAATAATGTGTTATTAAAAGAATATTTGGCATAGAAAAAAATTATTTAACCCTCTAACAAGTGATACTTAAAAAAAGAAAACACAAAGTATTTATTTTTCAGCATGCTCACATCACTACTGAATGTGACACAAGGTCAAGGTTTAAAGTGGACTAAAAATGTCAATACCATGGAAAAACCATCCCCCACTTTCAGAACTTCCCCTTTTGGGGATACTTCAGGGGCCAAGCAATAAACCCAGCCCACTCTGAAAAGAGAGGTACTGCCTAGTGGGGAAGCCCCTGGGGCTTGGGCTTAATATTTTTGATACTTTACTGAGCTCTTCTGACAGTCTGAAATAATTCATGAGATGAAGTTCAAGAAAGATAAATCAGATTAATTACTAGCACTACTATTAAAAAAATATTAAATTATTTTACTTAATTTTATGTTAAATCACTTCTTGGCTTTACTTTTTATCTTCTCTCTTTCTTTATCTTTTAATTCTTATTTTCCTTTAACACTTATTCATTATCTTAATATTAATTCTCACTATCACCATAATTATTATTGCTTTTGAATAGCCATTTATTTAATAGTAAAAATATTTGATAATCATGTTTCTATATTGATTGCTTCCCTGTTCATTAAATGTGCTACAAAAATGTTGAATGAAATGGCTGACCTATCATCTGAATAGCTTTATTACAGTTAAATCAGATAGGTAAAACACTTATTAACTGATACAGAGTATATACACTAAAATAATATTGTGTAGAAAAAGGTATCGTCTTTGTTTATATTATTGTCATATTTTTACTATTTTCAATAAATCTGATCCTAGTATAATAGGTAATTCAGTGTTGTATTTACTATAAACAAATAATCCTGTGAATCTAATAGCTAATGATGCAACTTTTTTCTTCTTCATTGTTATAAAGCAAATGGTGGCAATGCTTGTTGAAAGTGATAATGTAGGCAGACGTCTTTGTAGTGACTGCTGCTGTAACTGCTATGATGCAGGATTAGGTAAAATGTGCACCACTTGTTTGTATTGATCTGTCATTGGAAGAAACTAAACTGTTCATTCTGTAGTATATGCTATCGCTTCTTCTCCCTCTCCTCCTCCTCCTCTCATGAATATTAACATCACTGTTGCTATGGGTTGTCAGTTAGCTGACTGCTACATCTTTTATTCCACAGGCGATAAACATAATTCATTCAACTCTAAGATGGACGCTGCTGCTACTACAGGTTGAGGATGGCTCTGTGTCTTGCTTTTATTCTTCATTCATGATGATCAATCTTCAATAACTGAAATTGACAAGAATTTTCGGGATTGTCATCATGTTGAAGATCCAACCTTGTCCTGATATAACATTTAGGTAAGTGTCTCTTTTTTTTATTCTCATCATTTTCAATGAACAAGTAGTTGTTACTCTTCCAATCATTTTGTTGGTTTTGTTTTTGTAAGTCACCTGATTACATATGAAAATGTTTAATGTGACTAAATCTTAAAAATAATATTATAAAATTATACCAAAATTGTAATTGTATTTATATAATTAAAAAAAAAAAAAGATTATCACTCATATTAAAGGTACTTATATTGGTATGACACTGACAAGGTTTTGAGTTTGTTACTTTTTAATGCAGTCATTTAGAAGCATATATATTTGTTTATATATGTAGAGATGTTAAATATTGACAGTAGTAAATATCACTTTTCAAAAATTGTCATGAGGAGTATGAAATAATACTCTCTCTCTCTCTCTCTCTCTATATATATATATATATATATATATATATATATATATGTGTGTGTGTGTACATTTATATAAATAGTGATATTCATGTAGGTGTCTGTATTTTCATGTGTATTGTGAAACAGATAAGGTTTTTATCAATATATATTCAATTTGTTTTAATATTAAATATAATGGCATTGTTACTGCATATTTAGTCAATTATGAAATGTCAAAATAAAATTATTTATTTTTCAAAAAGATCATATTTGTGAACTCACATTTAGAAACATTGTCATTCATACTAAACATATGTGAAAAAAATGGTTGAATCTAAGGGTTCTTTTAGTACCTATACTCCATGGCTAATACTGATTTCTACCTTTCAGTTAAGAAATAAAGACTTATATTATTAACAATATATTTAAGCAATGATAATATTGACACTCACAAATATTTGTCAACTCTTTATAGCATGAATTTTAATAATTGTTCTTTTTATAGCTATTCATTATTTGTCTTAATATAAAAAATAATTCTGTATATTTTGAACAGTTCTATTTAAACATACAGTTTTTCAGGGAAGTGTTGAAAGCATTTTTATTTTAAAGAATTAGGTATATATAATATATTAGTACTGTCATTAATTTTTTTGTAAAATTAAGTGAGACTAAGTATACTTTTATTTTAAAAGCATATATGCGTTGGACTGAAGGTACATGAAAAACAGAGAAACGAGAATAAAATAGAAGTATATATTGTATTATTGTTTGCTGTAACAAAGGTTTACTTAAGATTGTATTTTTTTGTTATGTGTAAGCTTCTAAAGGGATTTGTGTATACAAGTTAAAATGTTCATGGGACATAAAATATCTATGTCATTACTACAAGCCATAATAATTGTTCATTAACCTAATGTCCTTCTTGGTTTCATGATAAAGGAAATACTAACAATATATCAGAATGAATGTGATGAAAATGTAATTTTCATAATTATTCTCAATCATAAAATAAAAATAAATAGATCAAGTAACCTTTTAAATCTGCAGATCATTATTGCATTAATATTTTTTTTAAAGTTTTTGTTAATTCAATCTGGAAAAGCTATACTATTTTTTATGTAAAAATTACATAATTAAAATATATTTTATAGCTTATTTTTTTCTATTTTTATTTTGTCATCCTGTATTAATTCTAAAAAGTTACTAATTTTGTCTCAGAATAACTGTGACATTTAGTACGAAATGTGTATGCAGATATAACAATTAATATGGGAGAATTGTAGTACGTAATAATTTCCATATTATTTTTTTAATTTTTAGATTCTTGATTAACATATGTAACACATTTTCTTTTTACATTTTTCATTGGGATATGCCAGTGATAACTCATACTGGATCATATTTTTTCTGTTAGAGATTCTTCTAGCTTTGGTTCCCCAATATATGAATGAAATCCATTCATGATCTGGCAATCAAGCTATAGAGCTTATGATACTTTCTGTCTTTTATTTACTACAAGATACTCTTCATTATGTAACTTTATACACTTAAGTATTATATTATTGACTTAATTATTTTTTCTTCAGTGTTTTTAGTTAAAAATTTTGTTAGTTTTTTTACATTAAAATATTTTTCTATGCTTGTAATGTTTCCAGATTTGTTCTTGAAAAAACTAAGCTTATCACATTCAAACACCGGTTCTTGTATGATCACCAAAGTTAAGCAACATCAGTACCTAGATGGGTGACTACTTGGGAATACCAGGTACTGTAAGCTTAGATATGTGGGTGGTGTAATAGATAATGGCTCAGAATTGGAAATTGGAGAGCTGAGTTCCAATTCCAATCATGTTCATTATATTAACTTATCTATACATTTAAGTATTATACTGGCTTAATTCTTTTCCCTTCAGTGTTTTATTTAGTAAAAAAAAATTTGTAAAAGATTTTTTTGGATACAATAAGAGTTCTTTGATTCCTCAAATCTTTACATTAAAATATTTTTCTATGATTGGAATATTTGCTTTTTGATAACAACCAGATTGTTTCTTGGATTATCAAACTTACAGCCATATCATGTTGAAATACTGGTCTTCATATGATCATGTAAGTTAAGCAATGTCAAGCCTGGTTAGCACCAAGATGTGTGACTGTTTGGGAAAATTTGATGTTGTAAGCTTGGATGTGCAGGTGGTATAATGGATAATGGCTTGGATTTGGAAATCAGAGACCTAGCCAGGTGTATTATATTCACTTGTGCTTAAATACCCTTGGGAAAGGTATAAATCCACCTCTTCTCCCCTAGCTATGGATGAATTGGTAAGACCTGTATCAGTAAATCATTATTATCTCAAAAAACAAAAAATTCTTACAATCTAAAAATATTTTCTGGCTTTAAATAACCTGCAAATTGTTGATAAGCCATAAAAAAACAAATCAATCAATTAATCTTAGAAAATCAAACAGGATAATCTGGTGATAACAGAATCAGATCTTGAGAAGAAAGCTTCTAATAAAGAAGATTAAGAATCCTTTAATGGCTTCAGTTAAAGAGTTGAAAAAAGATTTTTGAGCTAAATTAAACAGGATTATTTTGATATCTGCCATACATTGTGGTTTTAAAACTTGAAGCTACTGAATGACATTTTAAGATTATCTTAAACTCGAGAATAAAAAATAAATAAAATTTTTTGTTGTGTCTTAATTATGTTATTAAAAAAAAGTTTTTTGATATCAAAAAACAAATAATCAAAATATCAAATATTTATTATGGAAAATATTTAAACATCACTGTAGCAGACAATCTTCTTTTATGTGCCATGTCCATTCAGGACGTAGGTAATCATGGCTATCCACAACTCTTTATCCTGTGTCACTCTAAGCAATGCTTCTTCGTGTACTATCCCTCTCAGTTCATACTCTGCCATCCATTTACACAAACACATTAGGTACGTTACTCATTGCTTCTCATTGCCCCTCTTGTCTTCAATATGTCCTGTCTGTGTCAATATCTCCAAGCCCTCTCTTCTCATTATGTGTCCTAGAAATTTCAAGTATCAATCTCTCTTGGTCATTTTTTTTTCTGTGCATACTTGTAAAATTCATCTTTTAATATTTTTTTTCTTTGAACTTAAAAAGGCTGTTGGTGTATTTATTTTTTAGTATGAATTTTTAAGTAAAAAGAGAAATACCGTGTTTATTCAATATATTTATATGTAATATCAATTCCATAGAGTCTTGAAGTTAGATAGTGTTCAAAGCACTAATTTTTGGTTGGTTGATTTTGTTTAGCAGCATATCAACCTCTATAGGTTATTTAATGCCAAAATCTAATTAACTTGAAAAGAATTTTATGGCCTCAACTAAATATATTTGTAATCCTTCAACTGCAGATAAAATGTATTTTATTTGGTCATTTTGCTTTAAAAATATATTGTTGCTCATTTTACTATAAATATGTATTGTTGGTCCCTTTTTATATAAAAATGCATTGCTGGTATTTTTACTATAAAAATGTATTTTTATACTTTCATCGTGTTTTGTTTTTATTTGCGAAGTGGGGGGGTCACTATTTGCCCATAGCTTGGGCCCTAACAGGTGCTACCACCCCACTAATTTTTGGATAATAACAAATGGTAATAACTGCAGAGTTCTACCATCACTTTAAGAGTTTGATAATTGATTTGAGAATTCCAACAGCTTTAAGGGAAGATTTTTTTTACAGAGGAATTGAGTCTAAAGTAGGGAAAAAGAGTATTGGAATCCAAGGAATCCTATCTATTATGGTCATCCATTGAGATTTGATGGTATTGACCTATGATATAGTGAGGTTTGAAAATAAATTAGTTTTCAAATGATACCTTGATTTCTCAATGATGCCCTTTTTGATAATATTGCTTACTTTTGATGGTCAAGTAAGATTCCTTAAGTCATTATGACAAATTGAATTCTTTTCTATTGCATTCCAGACAAATAGTATTTAACAAATTTATTGACATTCCTTCAATAAATCATAAGATAAAGAAATGTATAAAGGATGTAAATATTGGGAAGACAGCTGTCATGATTTTTTCAGCTTTTACAAATTTTTAAGAAGTTATAACTTTAAAAAATTCTTTTAAGAACTTTCTATGATCTAACATAATAATGTGAATCTAGTGTAGAAGTTATTGTCATGGAACCAGCAAGTTGACTTTAAATTCTAACCTGGTCTGTTGTGTTTATTTTGACACTAATTTCATTGTGAAAGGTATGAATCCATCTTGTCCTAGCTCCTGTCTGTGGGTTAAATAGCTGGGTAGACTGGAATCTACTACACTACTACTTTGAAGTTGAAACCATGGAGAAACCAATGAGAAACTACTTCATTACCTTTATTAACATCTCATGGCAACGTAACGTAGATGCCCTGTACCTTTTCTATAAATACTTTCATGGTAATTGTTCTGCTAAGCTTTCCTCTTTGGTTTAGTTTTTATTTTTATTCCCCACCCTCCACAGATAAATTTTACATATGGGAACTAGTTAAGACTTCATAGAAACTTTGAGGTATTATGGTGGCTGTAGTAAGAATGGTGAGTAAGAATGTTTTGTTTTAGTGTAAGGAATAATGTGGTATGTTTGAGTCAGTAATCATGGC